CACTAAGGTCCGCACATACGAATGTGGGGACACGGTCTTTGCAAGGAACTATGCAGGGGGACATTCGTGGCTTCCAGCCACAGTTACCGAGGTAGTGGGTTCCCGAATGTACGTTGTCCAGCTTGCGGACAGGCGCAAGTGGAGGCGACACACTGACCAGATAAGACAGCGGTGGGCGACTGGCCGCCCCACCTCACTGCCAATGGAGTTCCAGGAACCGGAGGACATTCCTCAACCTCTCCCGGAGGTGAGTACCGACGTGCCCGAGGGCCCCGGTTCACGCAGGTCTCAGAGAGTGCGCAGAGTGCCCACCTACTTAAGCAATTACGATTGTACATGATGTTTTTGCTTAGGGGGGAGGGATTTGTTGTGTATTGACTTGAATGTAAATACTGACATGCGAATCGCCTAATCGAAACTTAATGTACCTGTACAGCCACGCAGGTCTCAGAGAGTGCGCAGAGTGCCCACCTACTTAAGCAATTACGATTGTACATGATGTTTTTGCTTAGGGGGGAGGGATTTGTTGTGTATTGACTTGAATGTAAATACTGACATGCGAATCGCCTAATCGAAACTTAATGTTAAGCTTCAGCCTGGGCTAGGATCCTAATGTAACCAATAGGAGTCCTAGCCCAGAGAGTGTCTACCAATCACTATGCAAAGCGGGACCGCTTGTGATTGGGTATTATATCTTCAACCTCATAGGTTGTTATCTGTACAGGGTGTGTGGCTACATTAGCCGGGAGTGTTTAAATATCGACAAGCCAGTGTAAATACTTTGATGGGTTCTGGCTGGCGATTGTTGTACCGTAACGGAGAAGTAAGAGAGCTGAAGAATAAACCGCATTCTTGCTGAAATCACTCTCCGACTCTTTGTTAAGCGCACGACTTAACACTAATGATCGGTTCAGCGCAGCTTCTTTCCTTTTCCAAACCGCGCTGAGCAGAGGGGAGAAACGACCGCCACGCTGCCCGGGGTTTGGGCACACGCACCACCACCCCGCATGGGTGGGAGCGGCGGCCGGCGCGACTCGGCAGGACCTGTTCCGCCTCGCCCAGGGAGCGGGGCGGCGCCGGGGCCGGAGGGCCGCATGCGCAGGGGAGTCGCCGGCTCCTCGCCGGCAGGCAGTTGGAAGACAGCAGCTCGGAGAGTTCTCAATGGGGCAGCCTCGGAGCGGGGACGGGGGCGCTGCCGATCCCGCAAGTGCCGGGCTCGGGAAAGGGGCGTGGAGCGAAGCAGGCCTTTATGATGGCGAAGAAGATGCCGGGTTGCCCTGCCATTGCCAGGCACACGACATCGAAGTGGCGGACGCTGCCCAGCCGGGCTCCCGCTTGTGCTGCTGCTGCTCCCGCTGCCTCCGCGGAAGGCTCCCCAGGAGATGCGGTGAGGAGGACAAGCGCGGGCTGCTCCCCACGGCTCCCGGTGCCTGTCTGCCGGCGGGTTGGCGAACTGGGCTCTTTCCTGCCTCTTCTCTCCCCAAAGGCCACCTTCCTTGGCCTCGGGCGAAGGGCAGGATGAGCACCCGCCTGCAGGGGGAGCCCGCGGGGCCCTGCTCTCCTCGGTGCGCCTGCCTGCTGGGCTCTCTCCGGAAACCCTGGACTCTGTTTTTCTCCCCCCCCCCCAGCTATTTGTTCCTTTTATAGTATTCTTTCTACATTTCTGCAAGCCTCCACGTTCTTCCTTCGGCCCAACTGTAGAACTTTAAAAAGCTCGGAGGAGACGACACCGCTCCCAGGAGACAACGCTCACCCTTGTTCATACTTCCCGAATCACTGCCTGCCGCATGCGGCCCGGTTATCGTCTCCACTCCGCACACACCATTGTACACAGAAAACGGGAAGCCAAAAGCTGCCCCTTCGCTGCTTTCTCACCTCTCTGGCCTCAGGCTTGCTTAACGCCTGTTCCTTCCTCCTTTCATCCAACAGAAGGTGGGTAAGGGTGGATTTCTTCCACTCTTGCGAGTCATGCTGGCGGGCGAAATGGGGAGTCAAAGGGCTTCTGCTAACCGCACAAGGCTTGCATGCTCTTTCCTTGACAACTAGATCTCCTTTTACCTATATTTTCCCCAAAGAGTTCGGCGTGGCATACACAGTTCTCGCTCCAGTTTGTCAGAACAGCCCTGCGGAGTAGGTCAGACTGAATATATGTGTGTGAATGGTCCGAGGTCACCCAGTGAGTTTCATAGCTGAGTGAGAATTTGAAAAGGCATCTCCCAAGTCCAAGTCAGGCACTAACCCTTCCTCTAGCTTTGATCTAATCACACCGTGGTAGAAACCAATAGGAAATGGCTTTATGAAGATTATCTGATCATGATGTACTTATAAATTAAGGGAGCAGCCAAAAAAATGCACAGGAGTATTTTTGTTGTTTTTTAGCCTTCTGCATTTGATAAGCCTTGAGTCAAGAGGACAATTGGGGGTTGTTGTTGTTCAGTCGCACAGTCAAGTCCGACTCTTTGCGACCCCATGGGCCACATCACGCCAGGCCCTCCTATCTTCCGTCATGCTCCAGGGTACAGATATTTAAATAAATATGGTAAGACAGTGATGGAGGTGTCAGAAGGAAATGGGGATGTATGTCAGGTGAGGCCTGGAAGTACAGGAAAACACTGCTCAGGGAATTAGGTTTTTGGGTTTGTTCCTTTTTTGTGTGTGGTAGCAAAGATGATGAAGAATTGACTGGTTCAGGTCATAGGGAAATGGACAGTAAAAAAATGGATTTATGATTTGGTTCAAAGATAACCTTTTTTTAAAAAAAGATTCAGGTGGGTAGCTGAAGCAGCAGACCAAAGTTTGAGTCCAGTGGCACCTTTAAGACCAACAGAGTTTTATTCAAGGTATAACCTTTCATGCGCAAGCACACTTCCTTCAGATAACCTTCAGATATCCTCAGGGCTGGTGCCAGGCTTTCTTGCGCCCTAGGCAAGGCTAACTACTTCCCCCACACACACTGCTAACCAATTTTCAAAAACAGATGAATTGTAGGAAAAATGAAAAGCACAAAACTTAATACAACAATCTTTGATTTTTTTTCTCAAACAGAAAACAGTTTTAGCACACAAATCAAAAATCATTTTGAATAATCCTGTGTATTGATGTTAAAATTTAAGTCTCTTGAATGTTTCCATCAAAATCTCATTTTCCATGCCTTTTCCTTTGCAAATGTTGTCTCTAATTCCTTCAGGTCAAGTGCTGATGCTTCGGTGTGTTTATTAATTTAGCTTGCCATCTCTTGGCCACTCATGGCTGAGATCATCTACTGCCAGCCATAGTTGCTGAGTTCCCAGGGGTTGTTATTGCTGACTTGTAAGCAGGGCATTCATATAGCTTTAGGGAAAGGTGTGGGAGCAGTTCCAAAGTTCTTAGTGCAGAGGTATTTTTTTCCTGTTCATTGCTACAGCAGAATTTCCCTACTTTCCTCCCCTTTCTTGCAGCCATGAAGCTTTCTTTCTGCCCATTTCTTTCCAGACACAGCCCATAGCCAGAAAATTTTTATTGGTGGGGGAAAATGAGTACAGTGGTGGTCAGCCCATCAGCGCAGTCAATAAACTCTTAGCAGCCTCTGAGTTCAGTGGGACTTCTGTGGCCGGAGTCAAGGCATAGTAGGCTGCATGTTTGAGCTCAGATCCTGAGCTCGAGAACCGGTCTGATCCTATATGTGAGGACTGAAGCCCTACTTAGAAATAGGAATGTTGTTGGGTGGTCTGCAGAAGATAGCCCCCGAGGAGCAGGACAGCAATACTTTTAGGTGGAGGTCTCAAAGCAAGACCAAGTTGGCTTGGTATTTTGTGGCGTTGCCTCCGCTGTGGCTTCTGTGTTCTACGGGCATAGAGAGAGGTTCCCTGGGGATGGAGAGGAAAGAGCCGGAGCTGCCTCTGAGGAGGGGTCTCCTTCCTTCTCCATTTTGTCCCCCCATCCTGCTGCTGCTGAGCACAGGTGGCAAGCGTCATTCAGCCTGCGAGTTGCCTCTGCAGAGCTGGAGACAGAGCGAAGCCGACCAGCAGGAGAACAGGGAAGAAACGCGAACCCCCAGCCCTGCGCCCTGGAGCCAGCAGCCCAAGCAGAAGCTGGGCGGGCACAAAGGATTCTTTGTTGGCACCCCCTGCCCCGGTCTCCTCCGGTCCTCTGCTAGGGCAGCCATTGGATGGTGACTCGTTCCTTGGCTACAGAGTGTTGTTTGGGTTTGCTTCAGGTCCCCCCCCCCCCCATTAACCGAAAAGATGAACTTTGGGGAATGTGTCCCCTGAGTGTCGCGGAGCGCGCTTCTGGCATCCCCAGGTCTCCGTTGGAACCTAGCAGTCCAATATCACCCTGCTGGGGTTCTGCTATAGTCACCACACAGACTCAGGTTTAGTGGTAAACTATATACAGTGAATTTTATTTACAAGCACCGTTCTCACTAGCAAAGTGCTTTGCCAAGCAGTCCATTTGTACATCAGCACACAATGCTTGAGACAGGTACAGCTATATACATATGGCATCCAATCACAGCACTGCTGAGTCACCCTGATAAGACATCAGCTCAGTACAAGTTATAACCGGTTTGTTCTGGTCTCTTTGACTGTCACTTACTCTGACACCTGTCACCTAGATTGGATCCATCTATTTACATTGTTACACATGCTGAATACTTACATATTCCAACACTGAGGCCCCGCTCCCCTCGAAGGCTGGCGTGGGGCTCCCACTGCGGATGTTCGGGAAGGATCCTTTCTGCAGCCCACCCAGTTGGGCCGGGTGTGTGTGTGCTTCTTTCCACATCGCTGGCTGATTCCTTTTGCCTTCCTACGGTTGTGGCAGCTGGACTTTGATGGGCAGCTGCTGGCGGTGGCAGGGCTCCTGTACAGTAATGCTGACTGTCAGTTCTGCGCTCCTCTGAGGTCTGTGCCTTAGGCAGATGCCTAGGTTGACCTAATGGTAGCACCGGCCCTGGATATCCTTCAGATATAATGAAGTGGACTGGTAACTTTCATTTCATTGTATTTTTTTTAAAAAATAGGGTTCCCCCATCCCTCATCCTCCCTATATTATAAAGCAGTAAGACGCAGACTCACGCACAGGAGAGAAAATGCGCCCCTACAGTGTTTGGCCGGCTGACCAGTCCGTCACGGCCTTCCCCGCCTTCCATTGGCCGTGTACCATGGCTCCCCCCTCCGACGCCGTGTCCCGCCTCTGACGCTTCGGGCGGGGCGGGGGGACACAGCGCGTGGACTGCGAGGGACCGCGCTCTCCTGCCTGCCTGCCTGCTGGCCCCTGCTCCCGCTGCCGCCTCCGACTCTTCAGCCTGTGCCGGGGGGGCGTGCTCGCACGCAGCCAGCCTCCCGGACGGACGATCGGCCAGGCGGGGGGCCCCTCTCCTGTCTCCCTTCGCGGCCGCCTCCTCCTCCTCTTCAGCCTGGCTCAGACAAGAAAGGCTGGCAGTTTCAGTGGCCCGTTGTAGGACAATACCCAGTGAACGAGAACTTTCTCTGCAACCTCCGGACGTTCCCCTCCCCCAGCGAGTCGGTTCTCAGCCGTGCTCGGGGCACCGCCGCCGGGGAGAGGGCGGGGAGGGGGAGGAAGCGGGGGGGCTAGCTGCCCGTTGTATCGCCCTTCTCAACGGGCCTTCCTCCCTAGTTCATATGATAACACAATAGACTGTACAAACTAAGCTTTTCAACCTTTTCCTAACTTTGTGGTGCCCCCTTTGGCCCTGGTGCCCTAAGCGTGTGCCTAGTCTGCTTAATGGTGAATCCGCCCCTGCATCTAGGTGGAGATCGGTGGGAAGAGGCCAATGCTCGCACTTACAACATCGAAGGCACCTCCTACGCTCTTCTGGCCCTGCTGAAGCTGCAGAAGTTTGACGAGGCTGGCCCCGTCGTAAAATGGCTGACCCAGCAGAAGTATTACGGGGGGACCTACGGGCACACTCAGGTCAGTGGCCGCGTCACGGTCCTTTGGGGGCAGGCTACAGAGGGTTGCCAACTCAAGGTGGGGAATTTTCTGGAGTTATTGGGGGCGGAGCTTGGGGAGTGTAGAATTCAGGCAGGGAAGCTACAGCGGTATAGAGTCCATCCTCTGAAGCAGCCGTTTCCCCCGGGGGCAATGATTTCTGTGGTCAGGATGTCAGTCAATAGGCCCCACCTGGAGGCTGGCAACCCTCGAGCAACTTCGGAAGCGCAGGTCTCTTGGGGGGGGGGCGA